ACTCACTGTTCGATGTAACGGACCGTCAATATAACGGACAAAAGTACTGGTCCCGAGCAGTCCGTTATATCGACTTTCACTGTGTATTTCTAACCACATGACAGCGTCAACCAAGGTCCACGTGATATTGCGACATGATAGGCCCTACGTGTTATCAACAAAAATAAAGAGCAAGAATATTTACAAAATTATGAGTTTATTTTTTCTTTCTCCGCAAAAGATTTAACACATGAAAGTATTCCTTTTCTCCTCGGGTCATTCTGTTTGACGCGTATTTGAATCTGTTTTAAGATGGGTAGGACTCATGGGTTATTACAGGGGTGACTGTACATAATTTGGTGGATTTTTGTTACAACACTATATAATTGTTTGGCGTTTGATTTAATTATAGATTCAACACTTTTGATCGGACACTCAACAAAAAAGAAACATCACGATGAGCAATTCTAACCCTCATGCCTTATCCTCGCCTAAATCATCGATGGACACTGTTCAAGGTAATGGTGTTTTGTTACTATTACAAAAAAAAAGAAATTCCTTAACTACTTTTTCACTCACCTTAGGTTTGGAAATCCATCCAATGGAGAACGAGATAGGACGAGATATTTACAACAAATTCCTTCTACCATACAAGTAAGTCTCGGAGGTTTGGTTTCTTTTATATATAGATGTTAATGTTTGCTCTTTGATACATATCAGGAAGAACAATCAATTTCTTTTCCCTACGGAACCGATGATGATAACGGCGTACGGGACCACAACTACAATAGCCACTGTATGGGATGCCCTCCTCTATCTCTACACGATAAACTTCCAGTCCAAAAATACGACGTATCAGAAACAAGTGATCTTTCTATCTCACCAACTCGATCAAATTGCTCTATGGGTGAGGATATTGGAGCCCACTCGCAAATACAGAATTGCCCATCCGCGGAAACAAATTCTTGGATTCGTCTAGGATGGAGGCCGGATCTTCCGATCGAATCTCGCACAATATCAGTGCGGACAGCAGAAGTGAAGATACCGTGCCAGAATTGCAAGATTTGCTTGAAAAATTGAAGAAAGATCCTTGCGGATTCCGTGAAACTAGAGACGAAAGGTTATTGCACCCAGAAGATAGGGAGTACTTCTGTGAAAATTTCGGTATCACTGGTGTCCACCCGGTGTTTGTAGACCATTCTGGAATGGTCGTTTGGATGTTAGATGATCGTGGGATCATGTTTGAATGGAACGACATGGAACAAGGTATGAACTACTTGGGGATTGATCTGAGGAAAGGCAGGAGTTGCCGTGCACTGATTGAGTAAGATGGATTTGTATAATAACAATTATAATCCTCAAAATTTGGCCACCAGGATGTTTCAGAGAAAGATTGTTATGTAAAAGGATGGATCGGGTATTTCGTTTACAATTAATGAATAAAATGAGTTTTATTATTTGTATCAGTTATAGTTAGTGTATCCTCATAGATATTTTCAAATCTTCCTTACGCAAACAAACTCAAAGAGCTAGAAGAATTTATGAATTTTTCGACAAACTAAGTATAGACAAAATTAAATATATTAAAGCATATAGTGCAAACTCTATTTCTGAATAAACTAGTGACCAGATTCAAACTATTGTTGATTACTTCTTCAAGAATCCCAATACCGAATTACCCGATAATCAGCGGAGCTGGGACGACCAAGATAGTTTTAACAATTCTTTAGATGATTTATCCGAAACTGGAGGTGTGTGAGAAAGTCGAGAAAACTTTACCAGAAACAGAGGCACATATTTTAACCGCTCCTGTTCCATTGATTCACATTTCTAATTCGGAAGAAAAAATAAGTGAGAAAGTCTTCCGAAAGGAGGATGCTATTGCATCTGAATCTTTACCAGAAACCGAGGTAAGTATATCTATTAAATCTACTTGTGAGAGATATCCGCGAGATTTGCTTTTTTGACATTAGGTATTAGAAATTTATTTATATTTTTTTTTACTCATAGAAAGAGAGTACTCAGGTTCGATTAATCCCAATGACAGTTCATCAAACCATTAGTGATCACGTCGAATCACAATCATCATCACCGCAACTATTTAAATTCACTTTCTCTCCCGTACATCCTCTTATCATTCTTGTTAGTTCAAATCCGATAATAGTATCTTTTCGTTATCACCCCCAGCGATAAACAGCTTGGCAATAGGGTGATAATCGATTGAATTGATACCGAGAGGATTTAGCATACTTGTGGCTTTAGAGAACGAGCGACGTGTTTGAGTGTGTACGTCTGATAAGTCTGTTAAAGCCCCGCTTAGGTTTATAAATGACACTGATCCGTCTTAAAATGAGAAATTGAGGAAGAGTATGGGGGCGTGAGGTTTGAAAAGAAGCACAGTTCATAGATGCGTCGTATATAAATACCTTCTGAACCTGTCAATATATATCCAGCCCGATTGGGATGGAACATAACTTCCCAAACTATAAAACACAATTGAATCACCCTATCAATATTTACTATCAACACCCGACCTCTAGATCTCTATCACGTATTCTCACAGCTTTACAGTTTGCCCGTTCATATGACATACCATTAGCTCGATGAACCTGAAATTGTTTCAATGGCTTTGACAAATTTTTGCTATCCCACACAGTCACCAAGCCGGAAGAACTTCCTACTGCTATCTGGGTGATCTAGTAAAATTTGGTATAATAGTCGAATTAAGAAGGTGAATAATAATATCGGACGTGAAAAAATGAATGAAAATTAAAAGAGGCACACATGGTTAATGAAAAAAGACATCTTGTCAAGATACCTGTGATGGATTACATGCAACAGCGGTCAGCGAATCTGCTGCGTAGTCTTGACTAGTTGCATTGATGTTTTGTTTATTGGCATGATGAGCAAAATGTGTGAATAAGGACAATGTGATCATGCATTAACCAGTTTTTGAATGAGCGCATAGTTCGGGTAGACAGAAAGCGGAGCGTCATATCTTATTGAAACTTACTCCACAGCAACGGCAGCCGATTTTCTTAAATCTCTTCTATCAAACTTCTTCAATTGCCCGCCGCTGGTTACTACTATCTACGCAGGAAAAGCCAACAAGATGAGCGTGAAATGTGACTTTAGATCGTTGATTAGCACGTTTCTTGATCAAAAGACGTAAATCGCTCCAGCATCGAATACATACAATCTCCTTTGAAGTTGGCCATGATATTCCGTTTATCACTGCTGCATCTATTTGTTCTTGTAAATAAATGGCAACTGTCAGTGCGACAATTTGAGCATCATACCAAGCTTAACAAGTTTTGTTACCATAGTATTCTACGTCATTGAAACTCTCTCGCTTCACCTTCCCGCTCCACCTTTCAACATACCAGCAATATCATTCTGATTCTCCTCGATTCTGAAGCATACTAATCTGCCGTCTTCACCTACACTCGCGATCTCTGGGTTCATATCGTTATTAGGTTCTACAGCTATTCCAGTTGCCGCTAAGGGTCTTCCCGTGTCTGAACCGTGTGTTGTATTCGAATATTCTAATTTAATCTTGTGTGTCGTGTCGCTCTGTGTTTTTGGATCCGACTAAGGAAAGGAAAGAAGATGAAGTAGACATGAATTTTTCGTGAAAAACTGAATGTTTAGATGTTGAACATTTGTATCGGTCCAAACAAATCGAATGTACTGACAGTCGATTACGCATATATATATATATATATATATAGTACTCCAGGCTTACCTCAGCTATACGAAATAAATTTATCCTGCCAAGCGAAGACGCCGTTAGAAAGAGATCATGGGAGAGAAAATGTAGATCTCTAACTTCCCCTTCATGCTTGACGTCTGTTACAGATTTTGTGCGAAAGGGATTGAATTGTGAAGTTGGGAACGGCTGTAAAGTTCTAAATATTTGATGTAATGAAAGAGTATTGTCCTAAGAGAGAACATTCGGTAGGATAAGTTTGGATTTAGATATATTACGTGGGTGAGTATTACGAGTTTTTACCTGTTCTTCGTCCCAAGTACCAGTTACCGCAAACACCGATCCGTCTGCGTAAGACGCTGGAGTAACAAATCGTACTTTCGAAACCTTCCCTCGGACGTGATATGCCTGAATGTTGTCGTTATCGTTGGCCATCATTTCTGTCGTTTTATGAGTAAGAGTAAAATTGAGGAAAAAGTTTAAGGTAATATTAAAGTAAATTTTTGCGGTTAGATTTAATAAGCACGTGCAGATATGACCTTCGCGCGAAACTTTGGTAACGCAGGTTGTCGTATTTATTAACATATGATTGTTTGTGGCATAGTAAACATTCTCGGTGAGGATGAAAATTAAAACTTGTTTAATATTATTCTGGAAAACGCAAAACACCGCGCGAACCCCAAAATTTTACACGTCTTTATTGTTTTGGGTATATTAAATACTCTTCTATTAATGTTAACAAAAGTTAAAAGAAAAAGCCTAAAAATTATATATGCTCATATTAAAATAAGGAGTTTGTTTTAATCTGATTTCGATTAATCTGTCACGATTGATTAATATTAATATTACTGCCGAATTCGCTTAACATATCATAATAATTTGTTCTCATATATGCTTTTACAGATGCACTCGTAGAAGGGTGGATAAGATTTTTTCCTTTATTACTCTCGGCGTTCTTTGCCTTTCCTCGGGACAATCACTTCGCATTTGATTATAAATACAAGAAATATAGGAATCCTTAAAAGATCTGTCCAGTAAAACCAAACATACCATAATTCAAAACTCTAACCTGCGCATTTTCGACTTTTCTTTACAGCTGTTTTGGTGAGCAATTTGTTTACTAGAGCTACGTTTCGAAAAGTCTGTTGCAAAAAATGTAAGCATTAGCTACAGCCCGCCCATACAACCTCGGCGGGCGTTATGGGGTTGAAGCGTCGGTCTTTTTTGTCGCGCCTTTTGTATCACTAACTAAGATTTGTTTTTACTAGCCAAAATTTTGGAATGGAGATTTATTTAAAAGAGGAAATTACAGGCTTCGCGTCTATCCGTATGACGTTCATTGATGGCTCATACGTAGTCATTAAATAACTAATTACAAACTTCGAGACCAAGGGGACCATGTGCATAAAAAACCTGAAATTGCCCCTTTCCTGACGTTATCACGTGAATACGTATTGATTGGTTCGCTTTTTGACATTGTCTAAATATTCGTTTACCAATTTTTTGCATTCTCTAGTTACAAAATTTCTGTGGAAAGTATTTTCGTTTAAACACGTAGGTGCCTTGCTACGAATAACTTAATGAACGAACATGGAGAAAGTTCAGCAAGTGGTTATTCAAACATTGTGTCCGAAAGAAGCCATTCAAAAAATAAACCAAATCCATTTCTCATAAATCATCTCTCGAGCACGTCAATTCTTTACCTTTATATATTAGTCAAGACTGTGACAACGAAATCGATGTCGATATTACTTTTTTATCTAACTTAAGAACGTTAAAGAGAATTATTGGAAATTAAATATCAGAATACGTTACTATTACGGCAATAGAGTATTCTTTCGTTTTACGTAAGCCGAAAATTTGTGCAAATCTATGTTTAATGCGAAATTTAGTAAAAACGAAAATCTCGATAAGCCGAATAAATTGTCTCCGCCCCCCTTCGTCTTATCGAGTTGGCCTTGTACCTTTCGATGAAGCAGTACGCGAACAAATTAATTATGCTCTCAATGAAGACGAAATTATTGGGAAAGGTCCTAATGGCACGCTGAGCATGGTGTTTAGGAAATTGAACAAATGCGGGAAAGTTTAAAGAGGAGTCTAGTTAACGCGATTCGAATAGAGAGTAAAAAAATTGATTTTATGTATATTCACATATATATATAATATATAAGAATAAATAGATACGGCAGTGATAAACGGAATAACTTCAAAGGAGATTGTATGTATTCGATGCTGGAGCGATTTACGCCTTTTGAATGCTCATCTTGTTGGCTTTTCCTGCGTAGATAGTAGAGAGAAGTTGATAAAAGAGATTTAAGAAAATCGGCTGCTGTTGCTGTGGAGTGAGTTTCAATAAGATATGACGCTCCACATTCTGTCTACCCGAACTATGCACTAATTTTGTTCACACATTTTGCTCATCATGCAATCAATACAACTAGTCAAGACTACGCGGCAGACTTTGCTGACCGCTGTTGCATGTAATCCATCATAGGTGTCTTGACAAGATGTCTTTTTTCATTAACCACGTGTGCCTCTTTCAATTTTTTTCGCGTCCAATATTATTCACCCTTCTTAATTCGACTATCATACAAATTTTACTGGGTCACCCAGATAGCAGCACACCGGGTCCTGTTTCGCAAAATAGATTTTTAATTTATTGCCCCAAGTTCTTCCGGCTTGGTGACTGTGTGGGATAGCAAAAATTTGTCAAAGCCAATTGAAACAATTTCAGGTTCATCGATCTAATGGTATGTATGTCATATGACTGTAAAGTTGCGAGAATATGTGATAGAGATCTAGAGGTCGGGCGTTGATAGTAAATCCATCCCAATCGGGTTGGATATATATTGACAGGTTCAGAAGGTATTTATATACGACGCATCTATGAATTGTGCTTTTTTTCAAACCTCACGCGCCCATACTCTTCCTCAATTTCTCATTTTAAAACGGATCAGTGTCATTTATAAACCTAAGCGGGGCTTTAACAGACTTATCAGGCGTACACACTCAAACTCGTTCTCTAAAGCCACAAGTATGCTAAATCCTCTCGGTATCAATTCAATCGAAATGATACTATTATCAGATTTGAATGATAAGAGGATGTACGGGAGAGAAAGTGAATTTAAATAGTTGTGGTGATGATGATTGTGATTCGACGTGATCGCTAATGGTTTGATGAACTGTCATTGGGATTAATCGAACCTGAGTACTCTCTTTCTATGAGTAAAAAAAAAATATAAATAAATTTCTAATACCTAATGTCAAGAAAACAAATCTCGCGGATATCGCTCACAAGTTACTGGCAAACCCGTTCATTAATCTATTCTCAGCATTGTTACATCTATAATCCGCTGATATATCCAGAATGGCACCTTTTCCCACCTAACCATCTACCTTTCCCTCCTTCAAGTCCTCCACTGACGTCTTCTTATATTTAATATTAAACTCCATCCGAGAATAAATAGCACTCAATAGAAACAACCCCAAGAAAAATGTCGAAGCCGAGAAAGGCTTTCTAAATAGCTCATCAGTATCATAGACATAGGATACTTGGAAATCTTGGACATGTTCATCAACCAAATTATACGCTTCAATCGTCACAAGGTAATGACCAACAGTGTCGAGATAGGTTTTGTGTATGCCGTGTCTTTGTTTGCCGACTTTAAAGGGAAGATGAACTTGCACATCTCTGGAGAAGACACGAAAAGGATATGTAAACAGTTTGCAAAATGGTTTTACCGTGTCTCTTTCTCCCCTAATCTTTCATGTGCCCTTACCTCGCCCCTTCGGGTAATATCACGTTCACTACGACTTTGTCATTAACGACATCTGGCCATCTTTCTACGAACTTTGCATTGAAATAGAACCTTCCTTTCTCTTGGTGATATCTCAAAAATTTGTTCAGAGGCAGATTGTACCCGTGATACCAGGTATAATTCCAACCGCCAAAGAGTGGATACCGTGGTTTGAATTCAAAGACGGATCGACTGGGCTCATTACGAAAGTGGGAAGTAGAGACGTTTCCAATTTCGTCGCGGTAGTAAGCGTCAGCGGCGTTGGGTGGAAATATAATGGAAAGAAAATGAGCCGCAACACTTTCGGACTTTGGGAAATATTGGGCGCGTTGATACTCTAACCGGGAAAATTGACCTTGCAGCCTGGGTTTATGATCAAACAGTAGCGGAAATATTGAAACATAGTAAGAAATGACGTTTCGACCGGTTTAGCCTTTAACCCAACGTTATTGAAGTGGCTTACCGTGCTCCATCATGTATCAAATCAAAGGTTTCCTCAACGGCCAAGTTTCCGCCCCAATGACTAATTTCCAAATCTCTTCGTAAAGTTTTTACCCTCAGTATCGCTTTCTGATAAGCATAATGTATCGACAATGGCTTGTGTATGTGTGCTTGCGTGTTATTGAAAAGACCGTAAGTTATCTGTTTGTCGTTCTTTGTTGTTACTTCAGGTACCGTCGTATAACTTAAAAGTTGCGGAGAAGGGAGACTAGGAATTCGAAGATGTTTTAAGGATTGATATGATCTCCAGGTAAAGTTAATACATCCGATATGTAACCTAACAATGACAATCTTACTTTACAACAGTCTTCTGCTTGTCGCTGAAATATGCATTACTGGCATACAAATTGCCTATGTAGAGTAAATATTGTTTCCCATTTTGAGGTATTTCGTGAGGAATGGGCTTCAATATGTGCGTGAACGCAGTCTTAACCTCGATTGTAATCTTCTCTTGCGCATCAACAAGACGGTCAAAGCTAATTTTGTAGAATAGTACGCGACTAAAGCAAGAATGTTATTTGTATTTCTGATGAGTCAAGTAATCAGCATTCGTTAAGTAGAATCTATTATCATTCTGATCTGCATGGATCCAACCCTTTTCATATTCAATTCGTATTCGCGGAGACTCACTTTTCAGTATCGAATCCTGCCTTCTCGACCTCAAAATTCACCGCAGTCTTTCTTTCATTAGCACTGATCCACGCCAAACGTTTATCGTTCTCTTCACTTACAGGGAAGTAATACTCTTTGCTAGGGTCATCACCGGTATTGATAGCAACAAATGCGGTAACCTCTCTCACTATTGGAGTTGTGAGGTCCACTGTGCGAAGTACATTGAGATTCTTCCAAGTTTGAGGTACGATAAACGAAGCTCTTTTTACGTCCGCTGAGACTAAGGTTAAGGCCAGTAAAAAGAAAGAGTAAAAAAAAAGCATTTTTTTTAGGGACGCGAGGAACAGAAAACTAAGAGTCTGCAAATATTATTGCACGTATTGTATGGTGATTGGACGGAATTCGTCGATCATTAATTAATAAACGCACATGAGAGTAAAATGTTTGGAAGATGTCTACTTCAAAGGCCTCAAAGTCTGTGCCTTTTCAGGGGCATGAAGTTTCCAGGTATGAGTTCAAAACACGCACGTATCAGATTCATAACACAAACTAATAAATAACCCTTGCTATAGAAATGTAGTTGTAAAGCTTTACATTCACACAGTACTAATGGTGATACTTCCAATTGCAACGTACTTTTACACGTCAAACTACTATTACGATGGTAAATGTCTCTCCGTGTCCTATTCTGCATACAACCAATATGCTAATAGCCTTGTTCTCCATTGACAAAAGGTGACTCACGTACAACTAAGGCAGCAATCTCGGCGGTTGTGGTGGCGAATCTTGTAGTATTTTCATTCATAATAACTGCCTTTACGGAAGACGTGGGTGACGAGAAAGAAGATGTTCGTCTGAAGAATGATTAGCATATAGGCGAAATTTTAGTCGAATTTATTGATGGGAAAAAGATCTTGAGATTATTTGGCAGTGTTATAACTACAATAATAGTGAATATAACGAAAAAAAAAAAGCTTGTTTAATGCGCGATCCATCAACTTGATAACTTGCTTACTACGTTGATCAGCTGACATCATGTGATTAAAAGATTATTTGCTTGAATTGCTGGTAATAGTGCCTTTTAGTTTCCATTATGATGAGATGGTGTCTAATGCTCAGACTCTTAACTCCAGTAAAAATTCCCATTCTAAAATTAAGACATGCCCCCCCAACATTTAAAACATCGATCGTATTTTTATCTTCCAATTCCGTTGATACAACTGATAACAGCATTCCGAAGCATACTTCATCCACGCTGTCGAATAGCAAATGCGAACCTTCGAATCGTATTCCAATTGTTATAAACGAGGCAGATCTAATAGAAACATTTGTCAAAGGGTCTGGTCATGGTGGGCAGAAAATAAACAAGACTTCCAACTGTGTGGATTTAAGACATATTCCCACTGGAATACGAGTTCAAGTAAGATAAACAATCGAATGGTGATATATGCTTTTGGTATACGCAATTCACTCCAACATTTCTTAAATCAATTATAATCTTTGTGACAACCATCAGTGTCAGCAGACACGATCTCTTCAAGAAAACCGAAGAATTGCAAGAAAGATTCTTAAGGATAAACTAGATGATCACTATAACGGAGAGTTGAGTAGAAATGCCATGAGAGCCGTAAAGAAGAGGAAGAGAGAGAGCAAAAGACGTAAAAGAGCCAAAGAGAAATATGGAACAAATAGCATGATTGTAGAAAATGCATCAGTAGACAAAGAAGGAGATGGCAGTATCAACGGCAATAATAACAATGATAATCATAACAACGATCTCGACAGCAAATTAGATGCCGAGGGTAGAGAGTAGTCTTTACAGTTTGTGTATTACATGTATATTGATTACCAATAGCTCGATATTCTATTACCATTACCCGCTTCCATATATTTTACGCGCAAGAAATATTGATACAGATGGTTATATGTATCGAGGAAATATGCTTCTCTTTATGATGTCAGCATAGATCTCAAACAGATTCCAAAACGCAACATCTAAACATTATTATTAGTGATAACTGGAGGATGTTAGCTGACGAATTTTAAATAACTCTCCAATCTCCTTAACCTCAGGATTATATTCATCAAAATATAAACGTGCAACGCTTCCAAAATCAATGCCTTTTTTTTGGCCGAGGACTCGAACTTTCAGTGCTTGTAAGTCAATTTGAGTTTATAAGCGAAATATTAGTCGGATTTATTGAGGAAATTGCATGGGAAAAAGATCTTGGATATTATTTAGCAGTGTTATAACTACAAGAACGAATATAACATACAAGTATTTTTGTAGCCAGACGTTGATCAGCCGACATTACGTGATCAAAAGACTATTAATTTATTACAAGCTACATAATAACTGAATTTATCAAGTCGCTCCATTGCGCAGACGTTTTTCTTTGGCGGTAACAATGTTCGTACGCGCATACGGGCATCGAAGAGAGTAAGCCTGATAGGGAGACATACGTCGTTTCTCATCTAAACCGAAAAAGAAAATTATGGACGAGTTACCTAGAGAGGAATAATCGTATGGCGGATTTTTTGTTCATATTACGCGCGTAAAAGATTTTCGTTGGGTAGAGTTACACCGCATAATTTATAAGCCACATATACGTTTGTAAATGTTTTTACGTTATTTCACGACAACAAAGTTCGTATGATTTGCGCAGAAACAGCACGTAAGTAATATTGTCTCACTTGTTGACTCTGGTAAAAGTTTAAGAGACCGGTTATCTTTATATGTAATTAGTTAGGTGCGGATGTCAATTCTGGGTTTACCCCGCTGCTGATAATTTGCGGTACATTACCAGCCCAGTCATATTTGAAACAACTTTCAATGCTGCATCTGGAAAGTTTATACGCGAAGTGAATGTGCGTGCGAGATTTCTCGCATTTCTAATATAAGAAATATAATCATTATTTACTTTTCTTATACATAGTATAAACAAAAGAAACACACATATCGTCGATTCCGATAGTCAAGCATCTAAGTCTGTCGACTTTGGTGTTCAAATCGTTTAAGCCGGTGTTTAAAGTATTTAATTGGGCGTTATTGGTTACTGTTGTTCGAATTGCCGATGGTATAATACCACGTACATCTATGAAAATTTCTCGAGAATTACGCTGAAATACAGTTTGTCTCAAAAAAAAACGGGAATAATTTATACATAACTAAATCACGCGTAACTCGATCAAAAATAAACAAATTCGCGTTCTGTAAAATTTTAAATAAAGTTTGTTTACAATGCTACAAACTTCGGTACTTTATAAAACCCGAGGCTTTTTTTTTTGCCCGCAGATAGCAGCTAAAAAGTCAGGTTCAAACCAAGAAATTTTAATATCAAACTTTATTACGTTGGTGGAATAACGGGATTCGTACTGGAACGAAATTACATAAGTTAACGAACATACCACTTTTAACAATCTGTGATAATGTTAAAAAGCTCAAAAAAAAAAAGGCGTTATGGCTCATGCTGGGGGAAATGGCCGACAACGCAAAATTACTGCGGATATTTTTAGAAAAGTAGGTCAATACATACATAGAAGCCATTCTATACCGACGCAGACTTTAGAAAGTAAACTGCTAGCAGAATATACAAGTCTCCCATTCAACAATTGCTCGGCATCTGGCTCGAACTGGGCGTACAACGGACCACAAGAGACAACGAGTCGAATGGGCTAAACGTCATCTGAAGGATAACTAGAAAAAGACCTGACTTGAACCCATTGGAATATAGTTAAGAGGAACACAGAAAGACGGATGCCAAAAAATTTGACCGAATTGAGGTAGTTTATGGTTGAGGAGCGGGAAAAAATACCAGAATTGACTCTAATTAATCTTGTAACTTCAATGAGGCGGCGTTGTGAGCTTGTTATTGAAAGTAATGGAGAGTGAATTCCATATTAAATTTTATTAATAAATCAATCCTTTTCTGTCTTTCAAACAAGTCATCATTTATACTGTTTGCTACAGTAGTAATAATTATATAATTGCCTTTTTTTTTAATTCCGGTTTTTTTTTTGAGACAGACTGTATATAGATTGTCAAGTCATGGTGGAAATGTCAATCGCTTGTATTTTTACCAGCAGAAACGAGTTACAAATCAGTCTATTGCGAGTTTATTGCAGGTTGTTCGAATTATGTTGAAAAAATATCATAATTCTGCTTAAGGCTAAGTTTGAGAGAAATTCTTACGAAATTAGCAGAACCAACAGAAAAAGTTGGTAGAAGGCATTTTATAACAAGAGGGTAAAGCTCACTATTCATTACCTTGGTCTACACAAGTGCATTTAATCGATGAAGCAGTACGCAAACAAATCAATTATCCTCTCAATGAAGACTACAAAGTTATCGGAAAGGTCCTAATGGCACGTTGAGCACGATGTTGAAGAAATTGAACAAAGGCGAGAAAGGGGAATCTAGTTAACGTGACTCGAATAGAGGATACAATTCTCATCGCTTAGGAATTTTCGATAGTTACATTTTTTATTGAATACAAAACACGTGACATGAGAAAAATTTTCCCAATAGATAAACATCGACGACACCCTTCCTTGAATTCTCCCTCTTCACTCACTCTATTCCGAACAGTCCTCGGACGAGGTAACTAAAATAATATATTAAGGTTTTTACCCTCGCTTTGTAATGACAAATATCTGATCTTGTCCGTAATGTAATTATTTTAGTCTTAGTATACATCGACATGAAGCATCTCGCTGCATATCTTTTGCTAGATGCTGCTGGCAAGAAACCTTCTGCAAAAGACATTAAAAAGCTCTTGCAATCAGTCGGTATAGAGGCCGACAATGACAAATTAAACGCTCTACTTACGGAATTGGAAGGCAAAAACATCAACGAGGTAATGTAAGACATGATATTATCGTACGTGTATCTCGATCTTTTGATTTTTTACGATGTTTATTTAGTTAATCGCTGAGGGCCAAGCTAAATTGGCGTCTGTACCCACTGGCGGCGTTGCTGTTTCTGGAGGTGCCACTGGGGGAGATGGTGGTGGTGCATCTGGTGGAGGAGAAACAGCTCCAACCGAAGAAGCAAAGGAGGAAGAGGAAGAATCTGATGGGGTACTTATTTGTCTAACGCTATCTTTTCCACAATTTGCACCATAATCGTTATCTAACGCTCATCTCTCTTTCTTGTAGGATATGGGATTCGGTCTCTTCGATTAAGCATGTATCATTTATATCGTATCTTAACAATATAAACTTTTTATTCAGCGAGCATACTTTTCACAATTTGCGATTCGTTAATTACGTCTGTCAAGTAATCAGAATAGCATTTATCTTGGTGATGTCAGGCAGACATGTATAATCGGTATTAAAGAATTTGTGAAATTTCGAACATGCCTCGACATCAATGCAAGTTTTCTTGATAAGTGATAGACTCGACCATCACTTTGTTCGAGTGTTTGTAACTATTCAAAGGATTATTTTCGTGCCAAGCATCATCTGAGAAAGTTTTTTATTATTATGCGACGTAAAAGTATGGTGTCTGTTGTAATCATAGTCTGTTCAAAGCTTAGGAGCCAAAGACATTTCGAATCGAAGCGCACGATGGAAACTTACTAAAGAATGTACGCTGAAATGTTGATCTACTGTGTTTCGAAAGTCATAAAGAAGGCATTTAATGCTGATCAGCGATGCGCACAATGTGACTTTTCGTATCATTTTTATCCCAGGTTTCGCACTGTTGTTGGCAGAAAACGAATTGTTTCTCAATTGTGTTCTTTTGGCTCGCGGATCTGCGATGTTGGAAAAGTTGACATTGAAGACCAAACGAAAAACCGATTCTCGTCTGTCCCCCTCTTTACGCTTACTATGTGAGCCGATTACTACCGCCAGAGAAAGCGCAGTAATAATAGTTTCAACAGAAGTTTTACAGTACTGAATTATCAGAGAAAAAAAATGGTTTGCGTCGTTTTCGATAAAGAACTTGTGTATCATGCAAATAGGAATCATTTAATCATTAATTCATAGTAATCGTACAACTAATGATTAAGGCCTCGAATTTAATATACAGGCTTATTAGCAAGGAAGTAACGCCTTTTTTTTTACAGTCATAACAAGTCGAGTATTATACCGACATTTTCATCTCTATTTTATCATGCGGACTATAACCTATAATTTTGAAATCCTCGAACTTAAAACTGTCAATATCTTCTACCTGGCGCACTATCTCTAATCTTGGAAATTGTCGTGGTTCTCTCTGTAACTGTATCTCAAGCGCTTCTATGTGATCAAGATAAACATGTGCATCGCCCATTGTATGGATGAGCTCTCCCGGAACTAGTCCGGTTACGTGAGCAATCATACGAGTAAGTAACGCATAGCTTGCTATGTTAAAGGGTACACCAAGACCCATATCACATGAACGCTGATATAATAAGCAAGATAGAGACGGTGGAGAGGATACCTTCGATACGTAGAATTGACAAAACATATGACAGGGTGGCAATGCCATCTTACTCAAATCTAAAAATAGTGAAACTCGAGTAAATAAAGTGACGACCATGCAATAGATATTATGAACAGATCGCTCACCTGCTGGATTCCAAGCACTCATAATTATTCTCCTATCGTAAGGGTTGTTTTTAATCTTGTCAATAACGTCGCTTAATTGATCAAAGCCTTGTCCAGTGTAATCTGTATCGCAATCGACATATTGAGCTCCAAAGTGCCGCCATTGGAATCCGTATATTGGTCCCAAGTCTCCTTCTTTCCTATGCGACAGTCCAACTCGATCTAGAAACTCACGCGAACCGTTCCCATCCCATATATGAATGCCTCTCTCTGTCAAATGGCGAGAATTTGTATCGCCTTTTATAAACCAAAGCAGTTCTTCCAAAACACCACGTAAAAATACGCGTTTTGTGGTCAGCAATGGGAATATGTTGTCTTTCAAAGAGAATCGAAGTTGAGGTGGAGCGAAGATAGATATTGTCCCTGTGCCTGTGCGATCTTGTCGACGTTCGCCATTCTTTAAAATATAGCGAATTAAATCGAGATATTGATGTTCCTCATGAGCCGGTTTAGGTCGCGAACGTATTGTAGTAGATTCCATGGTTATGTGCAAGACTCTTGAGAACGCGAAATAAATATTATTCGCGCATTCTTTTTATAAACCGAAAACCGTGACTGGCTAAATTAGGGGGGATAGGCTAAAGCGGAGTAGAACGTGATCTGGTATTTGCAGTTTTATTGGCTGAAGTACAATTTGACCAATGGGAGGACAAACAATTTCATCAACAACCCAATTAATTCAGATGGCTGGACAGCACGCGTTTATTTTCGGTATCTGGTAATTAGCAAAAGTTCAATGAAGTAGTAGTTCGATGAAAGTGACAGCTTAAAACGATAACAGGTCTGAATATATAATTATTTTTTTCTGAAAATACGATACCAAATAATGGCAAGCTAGATAGGAAATACGGACAATAGGCGTCTTCGAAAAAGAATTTTTAATATCCTAACCATTGTAATGTTTCATCGTTGCATTCAAGTTATCAGCCAATTTAATGAACTGACTTACAATCGGCAGTTGTTGATAAAAGTGACAAATAATATTGTAGCTCAGTATTCGAAGTGATTGTGATATCTTCGTCCTCAGTGTCATATTGAGGCCTACTAGCTCGACTTAACATCTGCAGGGACTAAGGTCACCCGCCGGCCCGAGTATATTTGACTAGCATAATCTTCTCTCAAGAATCTACCAATTGAATCTTTCTCTAGAGCCATGTCACGGATAGTCTTGGCTGTCTCGGCTATCTCTTTGCGTTAATTCACAATATTAAAATACCAGCTTTTTCCATGTGCCTCCCCCAAACCGAAATCGTTTGCGGCTGATGAGAAATAATTGTCAGATCTGATGTATCTGAATGGGCCCAGGCTGCGTTTAAAGCTGCTGAAAAACTCAACAGTATATTTTGTTGCTTTCACGACGGATGATATTATTTTCTGTGCCGACTAGTGCTGGTAGAACGAATGTAGCTATGATCTGTATATTAAATGAAATTGGCAAGCATCGCGATGAGGATCTCGGATTATCAGACTTATGGAACTGACCAACAGTTGATTAGACTGGTTGGATTATCACTACGTTACCCAACTACGATGACGCAGCCACCTTCTTACGAGTCGACAAAAAAAAGGACTCTTCTTTATTGACGTAACAGAGAAAAAGGCTATAAGCGATTCCAAGTAATGAACGAAGTAACATATCAAAAAGTCGTGAATTTCCTCATAGCTGAATAATCACCCTCACCTCTCGCGTATTATTCTCTCTCCGCCAAGATCTTGAAGAATCCATTTCACGTTTCAATTGTTGTCTCTCGGTATCTGTACCGGTTCTAGCCAACTTGTTGCACCATATGTCGGTTATCTTGAGTAGATCAAATTTGTCATAATCATCAATTCGTTTTCATAGTCGCGAGTATTAATATCAGATGCCAGAATCTGTATTGTACTGGTAGTCTTCTCTTATGCAGTATGCGGATCCGAATAGTAGTTGGCTATCAAACGCTGTAGCCAGAACGCGTCGATATCATGAGGAGAAATCTTCTGATCTGCCTGAGCTCCCGTTATCTTAACCGATTTACTAATCTCTGGACCTGTTATAGTTTTAAATCCTTCATTCGTATCTTCTATCAGCGTGCTTTGTCTTCATCCTACCCCCACCGAGCACATCAGTTGTTCCTCTTCAATACACCTGATTTATCGTCTATTTCACCGGCGCCCTCACCGGTGTCCTTGCCGACGTTCTAGCATCTCCAGTCTGATAATCTGTGATCTTCCCAAGATTAAAAAATATTTCATATATCAGTTTTCAGTATTTCCAATAATTTATCAGACGCACGTCTTTGACTTGATCGCCAAAATTTACAGTGCACGAAAAAAGTAACGAGAATAAAATGTATTACAATAAAAATCGATTTTTTTTGTCATATTCAACCAATTAAAAAAAATCTGTATGACAAGTGTTAACACAGCCTGTTAGATAACGCGACCACATTTGTTTTTGATTTTTGTTACACGTTTACTAACATTACATTCAACACACAAAATGACCAAACCCTCGCTTACTCAACGTTATATGATAATAACCTTTTTGTAGGAGGCTGGCACGCGTGATGCTGACGCTTTGCACAAATTAACTTCTATTCCACTCTCCACTATATCAAAAAAGTTGAAATATATTTCTTAGACCCTCAGCCCCGGCCCGGGAGACCAAGAAAACTTTCTCCTAAACAGTGTCGGCATCTTGGCCAACTCGTCTCAGCAAACAAATACTCTACGAGTGCTGAACTTGCAAATACTTTAAATGATTATCATCCTAACTTAAATGTTAACAGTCAGACAGTACTCAATGAACTCCATAACCTCCAAAATCACGCCACAGTTTCAAAATCCATCCCTCTTCTTACAGCCACTCATAAACAAAATCGAGTAGCATTCGCCATAAAATACAAGAAACAAAATTGGAATAAGGTCATATTTTCTGATGAAACTACGTTCCAGATGTTTCGAAACACTCAAAGTATTTTACAAAAATGGTACTCGACCTCCAAGTAAGGCTATGGTAAAACACCCTATAAAGTTTACGCATAGGGTGCCTTCTCAGTAAAAGGTTCTGTTGGCTTTTTTCTCTTCACGGATATTACGGACGGTCTCTTTATCGTAAGATTTTGGCTGAAAATCTTTTTGATAATTGCAAATACTATTATTATTATGGGAAACAATTGGATGTTCCAACAAGATAATGATTCGAAGCATAAAACATGGAACTTCTTATGCAGCGATACCCAAAAATTTGGATTGGCCGTCTAATAGTCCAGATATTAACCCAATTGAAATTTTATAAAGAATGGTGTAGAGAAACACGTCAACAAACTGTTAGGTAAAAGAAAGCAGTTATCAAGGACTTTTTTCGTGAGATAATTCAGAAAGAATGGGATAGGGTTGAAACTGAGACCTTTGTTAATTTGGCTCGTAGCATGCCCAGAAGATTGGAGGAAATAATTGCAAAAAAGGGCGATAAGATAAACTATTAAATGTTTGTAAGTAAATTTGTTTATCCTATCATAGGCAGTATAACTGCAAAATTTTGTATATTTTATCCCATTTTCGTTGTACTATAAATAAAAACGTCATTCTCATTACTTTTTTCGTGCACTTACACTGTAACTCACGGGGATCGCCAGAAAAAATGTAAAGGGTATTTGTTTCAAGATGACAATGCCCCCATTCACACTGCAAAAGATGTTAATAAATGGGTTGCAGAAAAGAAGATCAGATTTGATCAGGACTGGAAAGACACATTCAAATTTGCCTAAAAATGTAAGGAACTTGAGACAGCATTACAGGAAGAATGGAGCCAAATTTCTAATTATGTTTTAATGAATTTAATTACAAGCAAGGGTTGGCCAACAAAATATTAGTCTTATACATAGATTCAGAAGAAGCTAGATTATAACATATAAAAATTTTAGTCTCAATTCTTTGAGCAATTAATAAAATGATCAGGACATTTTAAAAAACTATAGTTGATTTTCAGTTCGATATCCCTGACACTGAGCAAAATCTCTTATATCAATATCCCAGTTCAGTTCAACAAATGCTTTTAACCTATTCATCTCTTCATGAAGAGCACCTGGAACCAATATCACACTTCATTCGCGGGAAGACCCGCACATGAGAGCCGCACATTATATTCATTCGCGGGGGAGAGCTAATATAAGCAAAGGAAAATCTTACGACTACCATCCTTGACGCCCAGATACTTCTCAAGCATCCCTCGAATAATTGTGGCGTATAAACCTCACTCTTCAGATTTGATTGTGTCTTTCCAAACATGCGAGATTAATTGACTTGTGATTCTGCGGCGGCGGTATTTCTGATTTGAGATCCATCAGTTGATAAGTTATTATGGCACGTGGGATAGATTCGCTTCTTATACCCCGTTTGGCTTTGGTGAAGTACTGATTCATCGATTTTTTTATTTTTCTCAATACAAAGCTCTTCTTAGATAATTAATAAGATCTTCGTGAATTTCATTTCTCATACCGGAAGTTAAAGAAAATGATTCTTCATAATGCTGTCGGGGAAGATCGGATTATAACCAGGGATCTGTATTCTGAACATCAGCATTTGATCGTAATTAAACCGACAAAACTCGTAACAGTGTGGAATATAACCGTATTAGATCCACGATCTAAGTAATTTTTTTGACCTTTCTGTTCATTGTCGAAGGCTAAAAATAAGAAACCTTTGGGAAGTGGTGGCGGTTCTGTAGCTAAAGTTTCTAACCAATTAGTAAACTTTGAATAGCCACCGGAGCTCATTATTATTATATGGTTATCAATGTCGATAATCGTTTTTGACCTTACTGACGAATACTTAATTGCTGAAGCAGCCAAATTAACAGCAGATACATATTTTAAGTGCCTTGCTCCATATAGCGTCAACTGTTACTGCGCACTTGAAAAGCTTTTCTCCTTCACATTTTGTTATGAGTAAGGACTTGTATAAACTTTACCACGACTGGATTTTGCCCAGAAAACCATTTTGAAGGAAAATATTCTAAAAGGTAGTAAGTAATAATAAAATTAAACTTGTAAAAGTGTATTTCGACGTTTTATATAAAAAGTGAGGTCATTGTAATACAAGAGCCACAACACGAAAATTGCATACGTGTTTGACGTGTTTTGTTCAAAACCAAAACAAAGTTATATTGAAATTTGAGATGAGGAATCCAAAACAGGGGAGCCCAATGTTTGGTGTCGAAGGGAAGCCGATAGAACCACCCCATTGCAATAGCTCTCCTTTGAACAATCCACATAATGAGAATGGAGTCTTACAAGGAAATGGAGCCTCAAGACCAGAAGAGATGTCTTTCCCGAATGTTAATTGTCTTGGCAGACAAAATTGCGATGATGGAACCGAATGTGTTGGGTCGCCCAACAACAGTAATGTAACGGCATCAACGAAAGAAGGGAAGATCGTAAAATTTATGTTCGGAGCGTCAGTCCGCAGTGGAATACGAACAGGAACGATGATATACGAGAACAACCACTCAATAGCAATGGTGAGGACTATACCAACCACTACCGTACGAAGACATTGCTCCCAAAAAACAACCACAACGTCAACGACAACAACAACCACTACCGTACGAAGACATTGCTCCCAAAAAACAACAACAACAAAAACAAAAGAACAGGTCGTCGACCGACGATATTACAATGGTGCAATTCGAATGTTGCCCAAACCTGGAGAGAATCCAATCGTTGCAACCATCCTTGGGGCCACTGCGTCGAGTCGGTGCCTTGGCGGGCAATGCATGGACGAAAGAGAAGCCTAAGACACCATGTCGTCTTGTGGTCCCTAACGTTTCATCTGTCAAAGCAAGAATTCCGGAAACCATGTGTAATGTGCCAAAGGGTGAAAATCAGGATGAATCTCGAGAAGGTTGCAAGATTCCAGAAAACCCATTTATGTTAGTCGAAACGATCACAAATAAAAAAGATCGTAAACGTATCTTAACTGTTATATTGAAGGTGGGGAACCTTCTCATCTTGTATGTTATATGGAACTCGTTAAAGAGTATGGCTTCGATCATATCATTCTCATCGGAAAATGATACGCTGGAATTCTTTTCCTAGACTGCTACGGTCGTGTGTTCGAATGGGAGTCAATGGATGATGTTTTATGGTCATTTGGGGATTATAGAAATGAGGCGACAATAGAGTCTCGGACTAGCCGTTTAATATGGGTTGTAGAGCTCGATGGTATTGTTGAATTTGAGGACGTTAAGGATGGTATGTCGAGATTTTATTCATTCTCTTTTTTATCTTAAATTTTACAATCAGTTTCTTTTCTCCTAGATTCAGCAAACGCCACACAAATGATTGATGGTTCAAAGAAGAAAAAGAATCGAAAAAAAAAAGAACTCGAAAAAGAAACAACGTTGATCCGGTTTCAATGTTGTATTATTCTCAATTTCGATCTATGCTTGCTATTAATATCACTCGCGTAAACAAATTATTAGTAGTCACGACATAAGACAAATTTACTATACGCTCGTACCCCGTTTATATCCCTACCCGGTTATATCTCACCCCCGGTTATATCCCCAACGTTTATAAAAACAAATATCCTTATATGATAAGATAAATTGTACACTTATATCCTTGAGGCGAAACAAAAGGGGAGATATGAACGGGGTACGAGTGTATTTTCTGTAATTTGCAGGCGTAAATAATAAAACAGATGGTTAAATAGCAAAGAAAATGCAGGCAGTTTAGATAATAAGCTTTATTTCTTCCTTTAAACATGATCTACTCAATCATTTAATTAGCTAATGCGCTACTATTGGGAATGTTTTTCACAGGTTATAGTATTCTCACTGTTAAATCTTTGCTTGCCATATAACTTTTAAAGGAGATCTCAATAAGCTCAAACCGCTTGGTCTACAGACCATTGCTTTACCAAAAAAATTGCCTCAACTTGTTGAAAATGGATTAAATCTGTTAAATATCAGTTTAGACACACTTGATCCAACTAAATTTGAATTGATTACTGGTAAGAAAAATTGATAGAGAATGCAGTGACGGTTATCTGCGCTGATGCCTGTTTGTGTAGGTGACTAACCGTTTATTATGATCTGTTCCAAGGCTTGAATCAAGTCATCAAGACAATCGATCAGGCAATTTCGCTCGGACTACGCCCGATGAAGGTCAACTGCGTCGTAAAGCATGGAATAAATGATCAGGAGGTGGCGATCGATTTGTCGACGTCAGGTTCATAGAATATACGCCTTTAAATTACACTTTTTTTGTTGCAGTCACTCAAAAATTTCATGTTCTCCGCCTGACCTGTATTCGTCCTATTAATCTACCAAAAAAAATGGGAAACAAATGGGAGGAAACCAAATTAGTCTCATATAAAACCCTTATTGCTCTCGCTATCCGTCCATATCAAAAGTCTCGGATAACACACACGATACTTCGAAAGCCTATTACGTTCCTGGCTTTGCAGGTCGAATAGGTTTCATCACTTCAATGTCCGATCACTTTTACGGCACATGTAATAGACTACGTATCACTGCTGATGGTAATTTAAAAGTGTGCCTCTTTGGAAATACCAAAATAAGCCTGCGTGATTTGACGCGACAAAATGTGTCCGAGAAGCAACTGTTGGAAATCATTGAAATCGCAGTCAGAAACAAGAAGAAACAGCACACAGGTATGTTTGAATTGGCAAGAACGAAAAATAGGCCCATGATATATATTAGATGGATACGTGATATGTGTTTGGTGAATATTCAATTAAATGGGATATGAACGGTGAAATTTAATATAAGCGCGTATTAACATTGAATTTATACTAACTTGAACATGATTTGATTAATAACATAATGCCTCACAAATCTTCGTTATTATCACTCAGCGATCGATATAGTGTCTCATTCGCAACTACAACCAACAGCCGTATTATCAGCTTCACCTAATACTCGACCACTTTACTTCCCTCTACACTTTCAACCGTCCAAATAATATTAATATATTTTTTGGATTCATTTTAGCTTGAGAATATTTCCGTACTATTTTTTATTATATAAATGAAATCCAATCGAGGCTCATGCATTGTGAATAAAAAATCTAGATTTTGGCGTATAACAGATTAGTCGTACCAACCTGAGAAAGGGCTAATTATAAAATTAGCGAGAAGATAAAGATGCAGGCCGTTTAATTGGCGCGTATTAATGGCGTTATTTTCTTTGTTCAAAGTGAATATCAAATAAATCTTTCGAAATAACGGTAAAAGAAAAATTCCGATATACTTAGAAATAACATAAAACGAATAATGGAAATTATCGTCAGTCTATTAAAGATTGGGTAACAGTTGGTAACTTTCCTGCTAGTAAGAGAGCCGAACCAAAAAAAAAATAACGAATAAACAGTTTCACATACACAGTTACTTGATCCCCCGATAAGATGAAGTGGCCTAATATGATGCTTTTCCCCGAAATAGAGTTATAATAAATTCGGGCTCGATAAAATGAAGATACTTATAATCTCGCGATATAACGTTATAATGATGTTTTTGTGCGATTTATATAAAACCTGGCTTAGTAAAACGAGCTCGATATAATTAAGTGCGCAAATCATCACTAATCATCAGAACATTATATTAATTAAATTAAAACAATTAATCAAGATTCGATGCTTTTATCATAAAGTCTTACTCTCTCTAACTCGTTCGCAACAATAAAAAAACAGATGAACAATAAAAGTATAATTAGTAAAAACCTGCAATAAAGCGGTTACTCTAACAGGTGCTTCAAAAGATATTTGTGTTTAAAAAAAGAAGCTCAGCCTAATTTGACTCAAGCAGAGCTTGCTAAACTGATAATAAAGAAATTTTCGCTTGATATAATAATAATGTTGTTTCACGTGACTCAAATATGACCTTCGTTATAACGAGATTTTTCGTTATAATGAACTTTCGATAATATGAATCTTTTGGGCCAGCTCGACGGTCTTATCTTATCGAGAGTGACTGTGTATCGTTATGTATTTTTATCGCTTACATATTTATAGCGGAGCTGGTGTCTCTGGCACATATACAAAATTGACACTGTATTTAATTGCAATACACTTTAGAGTCAGAAGGCGTTGAGGTTTCCGTTTACATATTGTGCTTGTTTACAAAACGCAAAAATTGCGAAGCGTCTGGTTAAGAGCAAGACAATAACAGATTAAAATTTTGAGGTATAATTATTATTATTATGTATGATTTTATGTTAATTGGTAAATTTTATATGTATTATCGTCTAAGCTTGCATGTGAATGTGCCAAGTTACCTAATACAACGCATAAAATACAAGCTGACGATAATAAGAATGAGAATTTACCCAAAGTATATTCTAATAGCCAAATGTTGTGACTAGAAAAAATATTAAACATAATAATATGCATATGTCAAGTAATTATGGCGTAATATTAATAGCTTAAGTCCCCCGTGATACGCGTAACAATATTCGTGCGTGAATAACAGCATCTTTTGCATCGCTGTTGACCCATTACTAATTACATAATACACAACTGACGATAACACTCATATTTCCGATAAGTATAGCAAATATTTTAACATGATTTTTCTACAGAGATTGATGTCCGGGAAGATTTGACGCCTTGCTGAGAAGAAATATAATTGTCTCCGATTATTATACACTGAAAACAATTTGAACAGTGTTATACTGGTGGTTTGGTAACTTGTAATTACCTTCACCTGTTTAAATACTGAACGCTTACTTTCTACCAGAACTATGGTTGCGAGCCTATTCACTTGTTAATTTCGAGACTGAATTGAGCCTTTGTTTAGGACTGAAATGTTATCCTATATTAACATATTTAGCGTTTGATCTATTGAGCTTATACTGTACACTTTTTCATTTAATTCTATCAGATGTTGTATTAAAACTGGTCAGTATTTAATAGTCAGAAGGAAATGCCACAAGAATTTATTTGTCGGCTCTTACGCCTACGACTCATAAACAACGTCAATTCCATATATTAATATAATTCAAATTATTGTTTTCATTCACCATCCCAATTCGTTAAACAGTGACATTAACGAGTATCTCTTCATCTTACCAATTCTAAGACTTTAGTGTGTTTTGGCTAAATTGCAATTGGCGCTGCTAGAAAGTAAAGCTTATACTACATGCTATAGTTATTAAGTTTGAAGTTGTAAACGAATTGACATTACATTAGACTTGCTTTCATGTGACCTTCACAATACCTAATTTGGTATAAAAGAGGCAAGCAGTTATTATTCTTCCCAGCATATGAATTTGTCCTATGTGTGGGAGGCAACAAGTGCGCAAACTTGTTTGACGCGTTAGCGCCATGGATCATCGTTATAACTTGGAAATTCGCACATAAAATTATTACTACATTCTCGGTTTATGACATTTTTCATACTCGTGAAGGTAATAACATAGTAATAGCAGAAGTAATTATTATAATAGAATGGGAAAATCAACTTTTCGAGAACGTTCCTTCGTTTTACGAAACTTTCGAAACATCATGGATATGCGACTGTCTCGGTTATCATAAATTGGCTTTCTTTGTCCCTCGTAAGTGTGTCACCGTAGAAGACACAAACCTTTCTATCCCTCAACACAGCTTTCAGAACTAAAATAAAACTCTATTGTATCCCTACAGTTCCGTTTATGTTTACTTTGTCGGACTTTATGTCGTAACAGGCTTTATACAAACAAAGACTTGGCAAAGACTTTGTCTTAATGGCGTATTCACGCTTTGAAATATAAAGCCTTACAATTAGTGTGCATAACCGCGAGAAGTAGCCATAAAGAAGTTCGAAATCCAGAATATAGCAAAGTCGGTCATAAAAAAGTCGTTATGATCGAACATTAGGTACTGTGTAAATGTGTGGTGGCTTGTTTATCGCTGATATAATAGTCGTAAATGCATTTACTATTATTCGCTACAATATAATAAATTGGGTTTAGCCTATGATGTTACACGATAATTGTGAGATTTTATATATAGACTTCATAGTGACGGGATCCAAAATCGGGTGACTGTGACTATCACTATGATGTGACTGTATAGGAGGCAAACTGACCATAATAATAATAAGCCAATGTGACTGTATAGGAGGTGATTGTAGTTTGCAAAATGTCTGTATTTCGTTGGGATGCTTCACGATTCTTGAAAAGTTATGATAGGAATGTTGACAAAGGCGTTCCATGTTATGTTATTATTGTGCTCAATCAGCCAATAACTAGGAGGAATGGTGTATTAGAGCTGCTGTGGAAACAGAGCTTGTTGAAAATGTGTGCTGACGGAGGAGCAAATCGTATCTACGACACATTTGTTGGTAGTGACAAACTTTCTGAGTACACACCTGATTACATATGTGGAGATAACGATTCGTTGAGAGATGATGTTCGGGAATATTACCTGTCAAAAGTAAACAAAAAATTATCGATTGACTTTAATACGTATAATTACTATTCATATTCATATAATACATAATATTTAATAGGGAACCATAATCATAAATAACCCGGATCAAGAATCAACTGATCTCATGAAATGTATTGAAGTGATTCGCCGTCGTGAAAATGACAATCCCAAATATGATGTTATCGCATTGGGAGCAATAGGAGGGCGGTTCGACCACTCGATGTCAAACATTCATTACCTGCATAAACTAAAGGACGAGAGAAGAATATATCTATTATCTGATGTTAACATGACATTTCTACTAGACAAGGTAATTATCAGATAGCAGGGAAGGGAATAGAATGCTTTGTACTTATAGTGTCGTCATAGTACAGTGCGCCATCACCAATAATGCCATAACTGAGAAACACGTCTTTTTTATATACTTGACAGGGTATTCATCACATCCAATGCGATTCGGAAATAGAAGGCCCGACATGTGGAATATTACCAATTGGCATATCCGAGGCAATAATATCAACGACGGGCCTTAGATGGAATCTATCATCAGCGCGTACGGCATTCGGACAAATGATCAGCACTTCAAATATAATAGACAGTCACGAAATTACTATAGAAACAGATCAACCACTCATTTGGACAGTAGAATTGAAAGTCTGAAATTCAATAATTTAATTGAGTGGGGCTAAATTAACTAGATTACAAAGAAAACAGCTCCTTTAGCTCTCTAACCGTATCATTAGGATTGTTAACTGAGTGACCAGTGACTTTTGGATGAGTATATATTTCATAGTCATTCCCACCCTATCAAATGAAATCAATTAAATTTTTTAGCGATTATGACACCGGCTTAAGATGCAACTCTGACCAGCTTTCACAAATTCCACAAAAGTCTATATAAACATTAAACGAGCTCTATTTAATCGCACACATAAATCATGTGGCCTGCTAGAACAAACAAATCGCCAGACACGACTGCATATTATTGTTCGCCTCTCTAGAGGTGATGTCGAGAAAACTGCTCAATCAATCTGTTAGTAATTCACTCACCTTATAGGTCTTATCTCCAAAGAAATGAATAGTCTTAAATCCTTCGGCTTCTATATGCTTTAAGCAGTAAGTCTTATCCCATCCAGTAGGAAATACGTCAAAAGATATCTGACCGCCTGTTAAAATATTAATTGTGGTTACTTACAAGACAATTAATCAGATGACTACAATTAGGTGATGATAATTACCGATTGAAAATGTAAGACTATAATCGGAGAACTTTGTCTTTAGTACGTCAACGAGTGTCTTCCTAACTTGATGGATCTATTAAATGCGTGTGTATACATAATGAGTATGCAATTTCATTTACATATTGAACAAAGATGATCGGGCATACCTTGTCGTACGCTTCGAATTCATGGCGTTCTGCAATCCTAATGGAAATCGGAAATGGGTCAACATACAATCTCGTTGAAATAAGACCCTTCTCTTTTCACTTACGATGCATTTCTTCCGATAGGCGACACATTTATCATACCATTCCTGAATTCTATGAAGGTACCGCTAGAACGCAATTGATTGATATTAACCATAATACAGCGGCAGTTAAAGATGCATGGTTATCGAGTTTACTTACCGCTTCTTTGGGATATCAAGATCAGCAATGTATTTTAGAATAAAGTTCGCGAGATTTTGATATTTTTCTTCGCCGATCCATCCGATAAAACTCTATCAAAATATAGATCAACGTGTAATTAGGATAATAGTAGTTGACAAACCACCGGACATTTATTCTGTTTGAATATTCACCTGAGATGCAAGCTGCTGTCCAAGTCGATAAGCCGTCAACCCATTCTCAGCGAATGCAAAATCAAACTCGTTGACAACTGTAAAACAGTATCAGATCCTTTAATAACTTCACCTCGTTAACAAGCTAGTCTATTCATGACTTGTTTGTTTGTCAACAAACATACCATTTGGTCCAAGTTGTTCTTTTTGTTTTGACAAGTCCGACCCACCGACAAACCCAATAACAACCTTCTTCCTCAGTTTATTAAGAATCTCTATAACTTCAGGAGTCACCGACTACAAAATAGTCAAGTGACAAATGTTCTCATCTGTGCTCTCATCTCACCCGACTCAATGGCTATTATACTGTTCTTTGACTCACCTGACGTGCTGGAGTCAAAGTTCCATCAACGTCGAACAGCACAATAGTGTCGGAAAACTCGCGATCCTTCCAGTCAACCATGATATGACAACTGGACAGAAATTATGTCAATCCCTGTATTGATACCGAGTAAGTTATTCTTGAACTTTTGTGATTGGTTAGAATCATTGTTTGTAACGCAGATTGACATTTTTACTTCGAAAGAAGGTACTGCGATTGCCAGCTAGTTTGATGGAAAGTTTACCACTGGCTTACACATGTCTGGTTAGTTTTAGGTGGCTGTAGTTTTCAACTTAATCCTCCCGGTCGCAAATTGTATAGCGTTACAAATTATGTACGCTTCGTTTACAAACCGGGATTTGTAAACCCTCCTGCTCATCTACAAGTTGAATTTAAATCGTGTATACTATTCGAATACCACAGTATGTCCACATGGCCTTTACCTGTTTCAGTACTAGCTCGTGCGATTTCAGGGTTCGTCTCACTAATAGTAACCAAATAAGGATTCATCGCTTTCTAAATTAACGACGGGAATTCGGTGGCATAACTTGACGAGAGTGACTCTGATTTTGTACTTTGACTAGTTAGATCTCTTGTGCATAAATCAAGTACTTTGTAGAAAGCTGCAATAATGCTTTCGCTAGTCAGCAGACATTACCATATGTCAGGATGTTTATTCTACTTCGTTCTTATTAGTATTAGTACATCTTTCAGCATAATAATAAAGACTATTTATTATTGACTTTTGTGTTTTTGGATATAACGAAAGTAGAATTCTGCAGTTCGTAGTAAATTATAATGTTGTACAACTCTATCGCGCCCTCAGCTTTAATACGAGCGCCGAAATTGTATGATTCAGAAAACGTGTGTTTGAATCCTTATTGTGTTAATCAAGTGCAAACAATTTGTTGGTAATGTCTTGAATCGATTGTGGAAGCGGTTTGTACGGTTTTCAGAATAGCTGACGCGAGATTTTTTTGAACGATTGACATTGTATGTGTGGTAGAATAATTAAAAGCTTAATTTTAGTGTTCAATGCTAAATGAATATTTTCTTTTGTACGGGCTTAGTAGGCAAACAATCGTTAGACCATTTTGGGCACTCTCGATATGTCTTCCAGAAGTTTGAAACAAATTAGAGCACATGTTTGGTCTTTATTAAATTCCAATTCTTCGAGGAGTTACGTTCTGTTGGTTTACAAATTGTAGTGACATTTGCGTTTATATGGTTGCAAATTATAGTAATAGTATGATATGAAAAAATAATCTGTACGTAATATATCAGCCGGCACCCTGTAGTAATTACGTGATGAATTTATGGTCACGAGTACGAGCGTTTCAGCATCAGCCCCACATTTGTGGCGCATAATATATACGATTAAGAATACTTTTCATTCTTATCGCATTACTTACATCCACAAACATGTATTCAGTAACGAAAGATTTTATGAACAAAGAAGCACCGCCGAACTATGTTGCAGGACTTGGCAGAGGGTGAGTCTTTTGCATCATTTCCAATCGTGGACAGTATGAATCGCGTGCAATTTAACTTACTGATCTTCGATCGTCTCACAGTGCAACTGGCTTCACAACACGATCCGACATTGGTCCAGCCAGAGAAGGTCCGTCCGACTTCAGGTAAGACCCTCTCTTCACTTTTCTTCCTTGCCCTTATTATTGTTTGCCGTTTCTAGTCACTTCAAAGAGAGTCAACCGCGCTCCTTACGAACTTTTCCTTAAGATAACAACCTACACTCGCCTTAACTTCCATATAACGCATCTTCTCATGGTATGTAATACTTTTCTTTTGTCTGAACTGATAGCTAATGACTACAATTTCATCGATTTGTTGTCTTTCACCAGTGATTCTTTACAGAAAAAGGTACAGCAAGATGAGGACGATGACGATGAGAGGTTTCAAGACCCGGATAACGAAACCGGGCTCTTCTCCAGTGCTCCTTATGAAGAGGATGATGAAGAAGCAGATAGGATATATGATGCCATAGATCAAAAGATGGACGAGAGACGCAAAGCTAGAAGGTTAGTACTATTTGTATGTACCAAAACTGGTTATGATAAAATTCGTATTCATGTTTTTATCCTAAAATTTAAATTTCCTATTAAAACAGGGAAGCTCGCGAGAAGCAAGAACTAGAAAAGTACAGAGCTGAGAGGCCGAAAATTCAACAACAATTTGCCGATCTCAAGCGTGGTCTTGCTGCCGTTACCGATGACGAATGGGCAAATCTACCTGATGTCGGAGATCTCGTTGGCAAAAATCGTAAAAAGACAAACTTGAGAGAGAGATACTATGCCGTTCCGGACTCGCTGCTCGAAAAAGCAAAGCAAGAGAGTCAGTATGTTACACAGTTAGATGTACAGCAACAGGTAAAATACATCACAATTGTATCTTATTTTCTCACGACGTTTCTGACAACATTTATACCTTTTAGAAATACGGTGGGTTCACAACCCCAGCGCCCGATTCTGGCATGATGACCAATTTTATTGAAATTGGGCAAGCTAGAGATAAAGTGCTAAGTTTAAAATTAGATCAGATATCAGACTCGGTTAGTGGTCAGACCACCGTTGATCCCAAAGGCTACTTGACAGATTTAAACAGTGTTGTGATAAAAAGTGATGCAGAAATTGGAGACATAAAAAAGGCCCGTCTATTGCTAAATTCTGTAATATCAACGAATCCTAAACATGCACCCGGTGAGCATTATTATATAGTTTGTATATATCAATAAGATTGAAAATTGCGGGTTTTGCTTTCTTGATTTCCCAATCTAATATATCTTCGAACATTTTTGTTTAGGATGGATTGCTGCTGCTAGATTAGAAGAAGTAGCCGGGAAGTTGTCGCAAGCCAGATCCATAATCTCCAAAGGGTGTGAAGAGTGTCCTAAGAGTGAAGATGTCTGGTTAGAGGCAGCACGGTTGAATACTAATGAAAATGCAAAGACAATTTTAGCGAACGCTGTTAGACATCTTCCTCAGTCCGTCAAGATCTGGCTTCAAGCCGTCAAGTTAGAAACTGATGCAAAGTCAAAAAAGAAGATTCTTCGAAGAGGTATGTATTTAGTTTGAAATATATTTAATCATTCTTTCCTGAATAATCATGTCATAATGCACATATTTACATATCTTTATGCTGTCAAGCTCTTGAATTTGTACCAAACTCTGTGAAACTCTGGAAAGAAGCCGTAAACATGGAAGACAACCCGTCGGATGCTCGTATCCTCCTGGCTCGTGCGACAGAGCTTGTTCCACTTTCCGTTGACCTGTGGTTAGCATTGGCTCATTTGGAAACGTACGAAAACGCCAAAAAAGTTCTCAACAAAGCTCGCACTCACATACCAACTTCTCATGATATTTGGATAGCCGCTGCTCGCCTGGAAGAGCAACAAGGAAACGAGAAAATGACAGACAAAATTATCGCACGTGCAGTGATAGTTTTATCCGAGAAAGGAAGTGTTTTGGGTAGGGAACAATGGTTGCAAGAAGCAGAAAAGTGCGAACAAAAAGGGAGCATTGGAACTTGCCAGGCTATTGTAAGAAATACGATTGGTATGGGATTGGACGAACAAGATAAAAAGGCAGTATGGACAGAAGATGCCGAGAGTTGTGTTGCACACAAATCTATTGAGACGGCACGAGCAATTTATGCACATGCATTGAAAATCTTTCCTGGAAAGAAGTCGTTATGGAGGCGGGCGGCCTTTTTGGAGAAATCCTATGGAACGGGGGATTCATTGGAAGAATTGCTGCAAAGAGCGGTTAGGTTTTGTCCTCAGGCTGAAGTTCTGTGGTTAATGGGCGCTAAAGAGAAGTGGTTGGCAGTAAGTATTGTGATTCTGACGCATCTAGTATTATAGGTTTCTGTTATCTTTGTTTTGGTGCATCTTTTACGCACGTAACAATCAATATTTACAATCGTTACTAAACTCGCTAGGGCGATGTGGATGGCGCGAGAGCAATCCTAACTGAAGCGTTCCGTGCAAACCCGAATTCCGAGCAAATATGGTTAGCGGCTGTAAAACTTGAAGCAGAGAATGGCGAATACGAGCGTGCTCGCATGCTTCTTCAAAAAGCTCGTGAACAAGCTGGAACAGAAAAAGTATGGATGAAATCTATTGTGCTTGAGCGACAACTCGGGCGAACGGATGAAGCCCTATCCATGCTTGACGAAGCTCTTGCAAAATATCCTACATTCGATAAATTATGGATGATCAGAGGGCAGATAGAAGAGGAAAAACGGGGCTTGCCGGTGGCGAGAGCAACGTATAACAAGGCTGTTAAAAACTGTCCAAAAAGCGTTCCATTATGGATTTTGTCCTCCAGGTTGGAAGAAAAGGCTGGCCTATTGATTAAAGCAAGGGCTACGTTAGAACGGGGACGGCTGTTAAATCCAAAGATTCCGGAATTGTGGTGTGAGGCTGTTCGAGTTGAATTGAGAGGTAACAACGTGAACATGGCAAAGGCTTTGCTGGCAAAAGGTATGTTATCGATTATGCCTGTACATTTTCAGTTTTAAATGCGCACGATAAATTAACCACAACTACTAAAATTGAAATTTAGCCCTGCAAGAATGTCCCAATTCGGGTCTACTCTGGTCAGAAGCAATCTTTATGGAACCTCGAGCACAGAGAAAGACGAAATCGGTAGATGCGCTTAAAAAATGCGACAATGACCCCATTGTTATAACCACTGTTGCTCGCCTCTTTTGGGCTGAGCGTAAAGTTGCGAAAGCTCGCACATGGTTTGAGAAATCAGTAAAAGTGAATCCTGACATGGGCGACTCCTGGGCATGGCTCTATAAATTTGAGCAACAACATGGAACCGAGCAGCATCAGCAAGACGTGATTTCTCGGTGTGTTGCAGCAGAACCACATCATGGTGAGGAATGGCAAGTTGTCGCAAAGGATATGAAAAATGTAGGAAAGAATACAGAGGAGCTTTTGAAAATGGTGGCTGAGAAGTTGTCATAATCTGGTGATCAAATATTTGGCTACAGAGTAGACGGAAGGATTATTATATACATAAATTTTATTGTTGTCTAATCTATTGTATATGACGAGATAGAGTGGTCATATATTAAAACATTAGCGCGGTCAAGTTAAAGAATATAAATAAACCAAAAACAATACGTACGCGCTATTTCTTATTCTCTTCAGCCTGTCTTAATGACAATTATCTGTCTCATCTTTTTCTTTCCCTTGCTCATATCATCGTGCATGAAAGATTGCTCTTCGACTAATTGTCCTGCGTGATTCGTTCGACACACCCCTGCGCTAATCGTTACGTGTGTCTCATTGTATGACCAATCATAATAATAGAAATTAAAGAGTTTATTTGCACGAATTCTTAGTACGCTGAAACTCTCTCGCTATATAGCGAATAATTCCACGCAAAGATCTTTTATTAAGTAAAAATATGGAAGAATTTAAGCAGCTAGATTGGTAAATTTTAGTTCTTCCAAAAGAAACCATTGAACGATCGACTCTGTCGATAACAACGCGGTACTTGAACCATACTGATCGTAAACGCTAGGCGTTAGCGTTAGTGTCTTGGAATTTTGATGGTTGTACCTAATTAGGAATAGATTTACTTCAAGCTTTAATATTAGGGTTTTTGGTTTGAGCTGCGATTGAAATTCACCCACCCGTGAACTCATTACTAAGTTACTATGAACTCATCAAGGTATATATATATATACGTGCTCACTTTTTGTTTTATAGGCCCATGCTTCAGCGACTGAAAAAAAGAAAAACGCACAATTCCAACATTTTAACTTACCACGAATGGAGTACGAGAAGAATTGCTATCAAACTTCGAGGTTTTACGTAAAAGCGATAGATTAGTGTAGTGTGTGTTCGCTTGCGAAAGGTTTGTTGGATATAATACTACTTACTATATTGATAATGAAAGTTCCAGAGTGGATGCTCTATTTACAGACCGTTCAGTGTTGATATGCTGCTATAAAGTTGAGAGATGCTGCAAAGGATAGGTCCAGAGTTGTGAGATTGTTGTTGAAATGCCAAGAACGCAATGGAATGTTGATGGTTTATCCAACTTGTATGGTCCTATCGAACATCTCCATTGCGTTCTTGGTCTTTATCAGGATGGGTTTTGAACGGGAATCGGGATGGTAAAAATTGGTACTCACTCATATTTGGTTACAAAGACACACTGTTAGTATTATTAATAGGTTCTTGTATTATAAATCGATTACACCAAGTTAAGTCTTAGTCGATTGGTTGTTTTGCAAACCAACTGATGATTCAAATCATCGTGACGAGCAATTAATATGAACGCATCATTAAAATTTGTGATATTATTAAGAAATGCGTATATTTAATTTAAACAAAGCCTATCGAATTCTTCAAAGACTGTAAACTAATAAAGCAATCATCTTTCAATATACTGTACATACATTACTTCATACTAATGTTCGTATGCATTGCGAATTTATTATCAAATGAAGGTATTGTTTTATTCTCGCGATTTCACCTTCGTATTCTTCGAATGTTCGTCTTAACAGCCTCTGTGGATGGAACATGCTGATTCTCTTGGTCTTTGGCAGGGTCCTTCCGACTTGTTTTTAGTGTCTTTTCTGCTTTTTTGCTAGACTTGCGACCATCCTTACGGCGCGCTGATAGATGACACATCATAACTTGTAAAAATTGTAAATATAAAAATGCCTTTTTTTTAAAAAAAACAAAACTTACCTTTCTTTTGTGTCCCTGATGTAGCTTTCCGTTCCCGTTCCCGTTCCCCTCCTCGTTCCCGTTCTCGTTCCCCTCCTCGTTCCCGTTCCCGTTCTCGTTCTTGTTCCCGTTCTCGTTCCCGCTTGCGTTCCCGCCGTTTCTGTCGTTTTAGTTCGCGTTCTCGTTCTAGTCGTTCTTGCCGTTCTTGCTCGCGCTCTTGTTCTGCGTTGAGCGATTGATGATCCTTGTGATGATTGTTGAATATCATAGAGATGGGATCAGTAAAAAAAGAAATCATGATATAAAAGAGATCTGTGGGCGTTTGTTTTGCAGCTTATCATAAACTTTAATTAATTGTCCTCAAAGCCAGGACAGAACGGAGAACATAAACTACAGCAGTCGCAAAGTCCAACTAGTTAAAAATCTGGTGGGTTGATGAGAAGATATCTACAGAATTCCAACCCGTTACCATGGGCTAACCTCACATGTTTTAAGTAGCAACTTACTTCAATTATTTCGTATTCTTCCTCTGACCTGGTATTGACATATATCTCTGTTAGCGGTTGGCGAGACCTCGACGCTGGCTGCAGTTTATCTTTTTGATGTCTATGGTTTTGTTCCGTACACTCTCCGGAATATTTTTTCTTGACTGGATCATAATTTTCCTTATTACTTTCGTGACAGTGTAAGGAATGTTCTTGGCGAGTCATTATTGAGGTAAAGTTCTAATTAATGAGCTTTTGACTTACTAATAAACGGTTTGTTCGATTAGATGGGGTCTAACATTTTTTTTTACGCGACTTTGGGACGCATGACATTGTGATATCATCGAATGTGACACGCGATTTGGCATCAACAGATCCGCGATTTTAATGCTTACATTGTATTGGTGGATAACGGGCATGATTTTCAGCAAAAATTTAATATATTATTACAATACTAATACGACTATGCAGAGTGAAAAACGTGGTCTCGGTTAGAATGTTTTCTTTGCTTATAGACTATAAAAGTTAGGCTGCGTTTCCTATATTGGTTCTTGTTCTACTCTAAGACCATAGTATGCTTCGTGGCCCCATTACTAATACTCGGCTATACTAGTCTTGATATCATGCGGAGAGTGAAGAGATGTTTGCTCTGTCCATACGAGTGCCATAGTGCAACAGAGGCATAATCCATGTATAATACACGTATTATTAAGTATATACGCTATACTAATACGTAACATACTAAGCACATAGGAGTGCATGATATTTAATCAGATGGCTACGATGGCGGTACTGAATATGACCAAAAGGTATTCTTTGAATCGTTTAAAGCGTGAGTCATCACGGGCCCTATTATTAATTTTGCTACAGAAGAAGAGAATTAACTTATCAGGGTTGGTGCAAGATTTAACTGATACACTGACACGACGCTTATCAGGATCGGCATTACAACACCGAGGCTCGTGCTGCAAAAAAATTTGTGCTTTTTTTCTTTTCAAGGCAGTGTATTATTTCACCAACCATTGTCCAAATCATTTTAAGCTCATTCACAGTCTTAATTTGTCTCTTTCCCCAATGCTAACACGGTACAAAATCATTATGAGCGTGTCATATGACAACGTAGCGCCTCCAGGGTCAATTTCCACAAACAGTCTTACTACGGATACAATGCGATTATGAACAAAGATTTACTTCGGATATTATTCTCCATAGGGTTCTATTACCCTAAGATATAGATTCCGTTGAATATGCGAGCTTTTTGACCATATGCCACAATACACGACATCCGATAGTCAGCCTCTGATGAGACATTGTCGTGTTAACTTGCATATGATGATGTCGTATTGTGACCAAGTGATTTTATTATACAGTACACGTTGTTGTATGGGTAACCTTAGTAATCTTATTCTTATTATTATTACCTATATTGTTTATTGTTCTTGCTGGAGCGTTTGCTAATCCAAGCACATTAACAGACTGAATGCATTCTCTTTCTTGATGAAACAAAGTTCTCGCCAAAGTCCCTATTGATGTCATCGCAACGTCCTATTTGAATTACCCAATTCTTTGCTTTGCTGTTAACAATCCCCCCACTTCCAAACACGCATGTCTCTAGTCAGGCATTGAAAACTTTTAGATCAGCACATCTTTCTCAGCTGCGCCTCGCTGGATTGGCCTGTAACCACTCAAAAGCTTTGACGACGGCCATGTGCGAAGCTTTCTAAGTCTTTGCGTGTTGCAAATCAAGTGAATGGCATGTGGGTGCTGATTATCGCAAGTCGCACAACGAGTAATGATCACATATCTGACATAAATGGTCATATTTCATTCATCTCTTTTTTCCCCCACCCCGCTTACTCCGCTTTTTGTATTCATTTTTGTACATCACGTGTATAAATAAAACAGATCAAAGCTTTCTTATATAACCAGCTGCTACGCATCAAGTGAGTATGTCCGTAATAAAACGCATTTCGCAATTGAAAGAACATCTAAACTCTGGGGATATGTCTGGTGAGATAGATGTATAGATAGATAGAAAGGAAATATTCGTTACCTTCAATTCCAACGCAGACAATTGCTTACTGTTTGTTATCTGATGATAATCGACAATCTCTCTTCACCAGAATCACTTTTCCAGCAAATAGAAGAAGCTCAACCCGACGCTATTTTTCATTTAACCGCTCTATGGAGGAACGACCCAGATAGTAGAAAGGTCAACTTGGGTATTGGTGCATACAGAGACGACGGCGGTAAACCATGGATTTTACCCGTAGTACGCAAGGTAAGGTGTTGAGTCTTGCGAATTGCTCTGCTAATTTGAGAACGGACTAGCGAGAAATAGAAACTTCCCGGTTACGGGGGATAAAACAATTAGTCAGAAAGTTGAATGTCGTACTTATATTCGCCTTTCGTATATTCGTAGGCAGAAACCATTATTCATAATGATCCAAACTTAAATCATGAATACCTCTCGATTACCGGTATGCCGGAGTTTAGGGAAGCTGCGGCCAGGCTGATGTTGGGAGCTGACAGTCCAGCTATTAAGGAAAATAGAGTATGTCTATGGTTCTGTTTTTAAAAAAATTAGTATAAGAAACCCATCTTACGAAACGATTGCGTACCGCGTCGAGGCGGGATACCCATGTTTTTACCACCACGCTCACATATATACATATCGATCCTGTTCTGTGTGTTCATAGATAGTCACTGTTCAAACTATCTCTGGCACAGGGGCGGTACATACGGCCGCTGCCTTCCTGTCACGATTCTATCGTAAAGATGTACCCGCGTTGATTTCTAATCCTACTTGGAGTACGTAATTTTTTATTCCATGTTATTCTTACTCGCTACACTTTGTGTTTCTTTGTTACGAAATTCGGATCTAACTTTTGTCTTGAAACGTATCACTATAGTCAATCACAAGTTGATCTTTAAAGGAGTTGGAATAGATATAGTGGAATATCCTTATTGGAATCCGCAGACGAAGGGATTGGACATTGATGGAATGCTTAAGGCTCTCGAGGTGAGAAAAGCGAAGCTATATGAACGCATTATTGGCGCGATTTATTGACCTGCTGTCTTTAGGATGCCAAACCAGGCTCGATCGTTCTTCTTCATGCGTGCGCACATAATCCCACCGGTGTAGACCCGACTCAAGAGCAATGGAAACAAATCGCTGATATCTGTGAGGTACTGTCATATTTTATTCCGACACGTGTCAGACACTTTCAATACAATGTCATTAATGTATGTTATATTCTCCCGGATCAGGCCAAGAAACACTTCCCGTTCTTCGATTGCGCATACCAGGGCTTTGCCAGTGGTGACCTGGATCGTGATGCTTGGGCCGTACGTTACTTTGTTGACAGAGGGTTCGAGACACTTGTCGCTCAATCATTCTCCAAAAATTTCGGTTTATATTGTAATATTTTCTCTACATTATGGTTACGTTAAGCGGGAGCGGAAAGACTTGTGATTAGTTTACTTTACTAAATGTTTGTCTAAATCTATTTTAGGCCAGCGTACAGGATGTTTGACTGTTGTGCTCAAGAATGCAAGCGTTGTAAAGAAGGTGGAAAGTCAAATGGCTATCATTCAACGATCAGAGATTAGCAATCCTCCGGCCCATGGTGCAAGGATTGTCAATATTGTTCTTCATGACCCTGAGCTATACAATGAGTGGTAAGTAATAGGTTGAAATTACTACGCAAGGTATAATATTGGGTCCGTAAACGCGTATAAAAGTTTGTGTAAAGTAGACCTTGGGGAAATTATACACGTGTATGCCGAATGGTGATACGATCGTTGGTGATAATGTCGATAGTAACTTTTGCAAAAACAACCTTTTTTCATAGGGTGCAGAATCTGAAAACAATGAGCTCAAGAATCCAAGAAATGCGTCAGCGTCTTTACGGCAAATTGATCGAGTTGAAAACACCTGGCACTTGGAACCACATTATTGACCAAATTGGGATGTTTTCTTACACCGGACTCAAAGGTAACTATTATTTGACCCGTAATTATATATGATAACGTGACTGGCTATAGTTTTGAGTAGATTTCGCGATTGAATTTAAATACTGACACGGTTTTATATCGAATAAGGCAAACAAGTTCAAGTACTCAAGGAAAAGTACCACGTTTATTTAACCGACAATGGCCGTATTTCAATGGCTGGATTGTCTACCAAGAATGTGGATTACTTTGCTAGTGCCGTCGATGATGTTGTAAGAAACGTTTCTCCTTAATGAATAGATGGAAATATATGAAGTGTGTCGGTCAATGCTGTGGTTATCGATGAGAACGAGTAAAATATAGGAACGGGTAAAATTAATAGCCCTGCTTATTTATTGTCAATAAATAGATAGCTTCAGTTGTATCAATCGTTCTGGTAAATTTGTGAAAATAGGATAAGCAATTTCTAATCGGTCGTGATATAATCAATTTAGCAATATTCCTAAAAAAAATGTATTCAGATGACTTATCAGTATTATCGATAAAGTTTGCAGATTTTTTTTTCCGCTGGAAACCATTAACAGAAATATCTGTTAATGGGAAGGGGGGGGTTCTTGCACAAAATAGGATCTAATCGATCCACGTATCGTCTCTGAAATCCATTTCCAAAAAATCTATGTAAAGACGCGCTATATTAGGGTTTGCTTTAAAAAGAATGATCTAGACTTCCCAATGCGGAACGGGTGTAGCGGCAATTTAACAATAAATAGCAAAATCGACAATATTTGCAATGGGGTCGGTCGGTCTCACACGACCGTTCGTTCCATATACCCACCATCACACTTCGCTGCCCACATCTCATAATTTTCTAATAAGGACAAACCTTATTATTATACTCTCAAGAAAGGAAATTATGTGAATATATACAAAATGGCATTGTGTGCTTGTCGTTCACTGTTAACAGGAATCAGACAACTCAAAATTCGGTAGCTCTGCCACTGTGAATGAGGCTGTGAACAAATGAGGGGCTTGGGAATTTTTTGATCGTGTGTTAACTTTATCTTATCAATCCTCCCCTCCCGTTTGTTTGGTCATTATTGTTTACTATGTAAACATTGTTCAGGTGACCCGGAATTTTGAAAAAGGGAATAGAAAAGTCTTTCCTTTGTTGGGACTGGTTCTAACTATTTTAAACTTCATGGTTCAGTACAAAAAAGGCAAGCAGTTGATGGAGAGCGTAGGACAAAATTGGAGGTTTTCCGATATCACCATCTGTTCTATTACTTGTGGGCCATCAATAGTCACAGGTTCGTCTCTACCAACTTTTTCATAAAGACGTGGAAACAATGTAATTTCATTGACTCTTCAATATAATTAATCGCGTTCAATAATAACTGGGAAAAGAGAATTCGATAATTGGTTCTACCGCCCTTACTATTACGATATTGAACGCACTCAAGAGATGGAACGTTAATTTATATTGTCACGCTCCTATTATAGTTTCTCGGAAATTATAAGCCTCGAGCCTTTCCCCCAATCGATTATCAGACAATTCAAATTCATCTGTCTGTTATTATTATGTCATAGTAATAACGAAAACTAACATCGAAGATATCATTTGAGATACGAAATAATACCTTCAATGGACGCTATGAAACGTTGTTCACAAAGCATAGCGCAACGCTATCCACTATAAAACGCAGGATGTTTCAGAAATGCCAAGAATGTGTTCATTTGCAGTGTTTTATTTAAGAGCGCCCGCCATTGACGTGCAGTCGATGATTGGAAATGAGTTACTGCCACCAATACTTTTTTGATTGGCCCTTATGAGAAATGTTTAACCTGTTGGCAATTGGGGGTGGATAATTCAGATGTTCATGTGCGAAAACACTGAGATTCTCATAGAAATTAAGATGTAAATGATCTCAATGTTTTGGAGTACTGAATTGTTTATGGAAGTTTGCGACTAGATTTAACAATCAAACATTTTGCCGCCATGTTGTGAATTTGTTACACTAAATGTTAAACTCTCCTTGTCTCAACACAACTCTTACATCTGCAGAGCAACTCCCTGCATCTTCTAACATTGCAGTCACTGTTCTTTCCTTTGGCATGATTTTGATGCACGCCTCTGTTTTCATCAGAGACGCCTTTATCGTTCACCACTAACACGAGCGGAGTGGGAATTGGGGGGTGAACTTGCAGACAGCATTTCGTGATTGCATCTGGCGATATCGTCATCCTATACAAACAATTTAATGGAATCCCACAACATTTGGGGTTCACACAGAACAAATTAATACAGATGAAACTTAAGCTCACGATGAGTCAGGCGATGATGATCCGATAAATTATTCCTATTGTCACAATGTTACAATAAAACCGTTCTAAATTCAAATCTTTCATCATTCTACATATTGTCACGCCACATGACCATCTGTTCACAGAATAGTGTCACCCCAGGCATATCTACCCACAGAAATGCTGGCGATCAGCAAATGCGTGGGTAAAAGTTATTTTGTACGTGGGAGTCTCGGTTGGGGTGACTAGAAAGTATTTAAAGAGCTAGTGAGAGGAGTGGGGTGATTCCATAGAACCGCCTTAGGACGGTTTCTTTTAACGAATATATAAAAGCGATTTAGAACAGCGATTCATTACAGCGATTCATTACAGCGATTCATTACAGCGATTCATTACAGCGATTTATTACAGCGATTCATTACAGCGATTCATTACAGCGATTCATTACAGCGATTCATTACAGCGATTCATTACAGCGATTCATTACAGCGATCCATTACAGCGATTCATTACATCGATTCACAACTACGATTTTATAACGCACATTATAATTACACGCGACAAAGAAAATCCCCTTATAAGCAAAGAACGAACGTCTCTCTAACCTTTTAACTTACTACCATCCGCGTTACATCAAACTGAGCAAACACTTTGTAATCTATCACAATTCGGCTGTACACATCTCATACACTATATAAACACTCTGTATATACACATAATACTCAATCAACCAAATGACACGTACTATAAAAACCAACGTCAGCACTCCCACCGTCGCTACTTCCAAGAACGTTAAATATTTCTCCAGGTACGAGTTAGTGATTAGTATGGTAATTTGTGAAAAGAAATATTCAACTCAATCTGGTGAATTTTTGTAGGAAAGCTCTTCCAACCGACCCAAGTCATGTAAAGAAGGGCGGCGCTGGGAAGGGTAATTGGTGAGTACAGCATCATTGTATTATGTGATTAAATTCATTGAATGCAATTGTAATTGTGGTTTGTTTAACTTGCGTTGTTTAGGGGTCGTCAAGTTGATGACATAGACGAAGGCATGATCGATAGCAGTATCGGGGTCTATAAAGAAAATGCCAAGGTAGCTATCGGTTAAGCATTTCCCATTGCTGAAGTGTGAGAATCATCATAATAACTCAAGATATTTTGTAGGTTGTTATTCTGCCTTGATTATTATAATCGACATGCTACATCTGTTTTCCATATAATTGACATATTGTGGAAGAAGGGAGACAAACTTTGAAGAATTTATAAATAAACATATTAATAATTACAATGATATCGCAATTTGTTGATTGAATGATTGCATTTTTATAATACGTTTAATTGTTCATCTGTCTATTTACTACTATCGCTACTACTGCTCAAACCAAATGCCATCATCGTACGCTTGCTTCATGTACAGTATACTTATTATACCCTCTTCAAAACCTATTCATCGTTTATGCAGACCATTACATGACACACATCGATGATGGCACTGGCATGGGTCCCGGAATATGAACCGATTATTAAAAGTCCGATATTAATATGTATAAAAATAGTATTTATTAATTGGACCCAGGTAGTATGCCCCGGTACTTGACGTCACATTGTTCACCACTAAATTAACTACATATACAATGCTGTAATGTATTGATTAACGCAACCTAACTCGATTAAGCATTATTATATCCAAGCCACGTTTACACGCGTATGACCAGCGGTTTGCAATTTATTCAATATTCGAACAATAGGCATGAATTCGAGAGGGGGAAAAATGCTAAAATGTTGCGTTACCATTTGTTTCCCACACTCTGTAATGCAACGGAACCAGTCTTTCTCTCCGCATTCCCGCAACATCTTAACAGTAACACTGCATTTTAAAACCCCCCTCAGATTTGTTAAAAAAGAAGAAAAAGTTAATTCCATCCATCATTGGAAAAATAAGAAACCTCACCTTTTTCTATCGACCTTGTGCGTGCGCGAACAGCTGCCATGACATGAACAGAGAAATCTAATTGAATTGTTTTCCACAACGAATTTTTTTTTTTGCAAAACAGTTGCATCAACGTTGCGTTTTCGCATAAACTGTCTCTTATACCGTATCCTCTCTTAAACAAGCACTCATGAAAATGTCACGTAAATAATAAACTTTAACAGTATCGAAGCAAACTAGCAGTGTATTGCGATTATGTGCGTATTGGCGTGTTGTTTGCGCACAAGTCATGTGTGCCTTATCGTAAATGTAATAATAAAGCTGTCGTTTTACTGCAATAATATAAATCATTGCGAACAAGTATTCTTGGGATGGAGACGTGTCGTTTGTCGCCTTGTCATTCTTCTTTTCAATAGCATTATGATAAACATTGCGTCTGTGTATTTCAAGTAGTGCATTATAAGCATTCCGTTCCTGCTTTCTGGTAATAGTAACGGTTATATTGCCTTCCAATGATTTGCCGGCAATATCGTTAGAAGGTTGTTCTTTTGCCCGCTTCCCAAGGTAAGCGTATGGCTTTTAGCACCGATTGAAGACAAGCGTTTGTTTTTTTTCCGAAATATATAAATGTCGTACTGAAGCCTGTTACTAGCGATATACTTATATGCTTGTAATATAATCGTTTGTACTTTCACAACAACATAGTATTAGTATTCAGGAAACGTTCGATCACCAAGACGCAAACCATTCTTTTATTGTCAGTAAGAGTTGATCTCCTTTTCTGCTAATGAAGTCTGGATACTCAATCTTGTTATTGAGACGTTGTTTGTGAGGATGTCACGGATGTTATTAGACATGGCTATCCAAACCAATTCATTAGCAATATTGCATTGCTGTGTTTGCAGAAACAGCTTATTATGTTTTTGTTACTGTCTAAAGGAAAATGAAATCACTTTACCGAAAAATTCCTCCCACAAAACCAATCCCGAAGATGCTTGTATACGTCTCCGCTGCGCAGCACACATCTTAAATCTCGTGACTCATTATCATCGGAAAGATAGTAGCATTACGCGTCTGTAAACAAGGAAAGATATATAATAAAGTCGTTCGGATATTGGACTTAGTAAAACACAACGAAATCCATATCAAACAAAGCGATTTCAGTTTTAGGATTTTTTTATGTATCTTCGCTGCGAGTTTGGAAGGAAAGAGGTATACAAAAACTGTTTATCAAGCAAATTTGCGAAAACGTTGATGATTCTGATTTTGACAGGCTTAATAATAAAAGCTCATCCACAGGCAAAATTCTTAAACGGCATTTTTGCGGGAGCTGATTCTGATAACCTAAACCATTAGTTGGTCAAATGCTATTCTCTAACCCCATTCGTTAGTTTCAGTGACTGGCAGAGTTTATTGACAATATGTGTAAGCAATGGCAACCCTAAACCCATCAACCCATAAGCACTATAGGTCAATCAAGCAGTGTTAGTGTAGGCAAATCATGGAATTTGCTGACACAAAGTTCATTTGTTCACCCATTAATCAATAATTGGCAAAGGTCCAGTCAATTTAATACTTTTAAATATGGGTAAGCAAGAGATTACATGAAAGTTTATTTATATATATTAATATTTTATTACAGGGTTATCTCAGGTGTGACTACATAATTTTGGGTATTTGTGTTATTGGTTTTTCGAAACATCATGATGAGCAATTCTAACTTATCCAATCAATCCCATGTTTATATCTAACTCTCCACAGCAGATAGTTCGTCAAGCGATGGGACTATTCGCAATAACCCGGTAATAATCTCTCACATATTTTCCCCACAAAGAAAAAGGCTGACAATAACATTCGTCTCCCTGATGGGAAAGGAAACCTCGCTTTATTTTATTCTTGCCGTGTAACCATAAACATCTGCGGTAAACAGAAGCATTAAGCATTGACAGTTTGTGATAAATAGAACATACAACGGCTACAGAGCTAGTCTATTTTTAGTATCAGATCACGATGAAACAATCACAAGTCATACATCTTTTGATATTTTGCTTGAAAGCGAAATACGTGACAGCCGGAATATTAATAGTGCATAAGAGGGAAATGTACCAGAAACCCCCTACTCAACACGTACTTCTGAACATTTCCCACGGTCTTATAACATGAATAAATGGTTTTATGGTCGGGAGTCAGTCTGCTATCAAGGGTAAGGATAAAAATATATGTCGGGAACTGAAACGCTCGTGATCATTGAATTTATCACGTAACCAACAGGTGGTTACTCACGTTTTGTCGCATATAGATATGATTGCGTTGCTCAATTTGATGAATTAGAATGTTTGAAAGATTGAGCTCTAGTACTAGTTTCAAGTTTATTTTACATTATGTGATCGATGTCATCGATTGATTCTTTCTTATATTCGTGATTATCAACCTTTGTATTTAATCGAAGTGAATATAAGTATTCGGAGATGTTATCTCCTAATCTTATGCGATAGATTATATATCCTTTCTATTGTTTATATACCATTTAGGATTAATTGAAGGCAAGGTTCAAGTGAGAGGATATATTTAATGTTTTCTATTGGATATAACAGAGCTAGCTGATGATTGGATTGAATATAAGTATGGTTTGTATCCAATCCCTATTGCTCAATTGCCATCTTCCTGTAATCTCCCTTCTCGTTTTCTACCCAAGATGCTAGCAATTTAAAGTATTGGACCTGGTGTTCTCCAGTATAGATGTTCCGATGGTACTGCACATTTCGGATAGTTAGTATTGTGAAGTTCTCTCTTTGCATCAGAGTTGTTTAAACTCGTTCCAATTTCTCCTTCGTATGAGACCTTCGATATTTGCTGTGTACAAATTAATAAACGACAAATTGCATTTCATTTCGATTTTCTTCTAACCCAGTCGTTTATGAATTAATGGTGGTCGTATACCGTTTTTTATTTTCTAAATGACGACATATGGTGTGATACCTGTCAATCTTTAACAATGATCATATTGGTGTAGTTTTCCAAACTCGAATCTTTGACTCAAACATCATGGCTCTTCTCTCATCCACCGATCATTACGGACGCGATAACATTGTTCAAGATGAAGAATGCAAGCCATCCAACCGAAAGCGCTTCCCCAAAGCGAATAGTATCTATCTTTGTCATGTATTTCAAGGACATTTCATTTAAGTATCTTTACTCGTTTATTATTTATATAACAAGAAAGGATAGTTGATGCTATCTGTAGAGTGAACTATTTTATTATTTTCCATTTAATGATGTGCAACTCTACATCGTATCTAACAAGTTAAAATAATTACAAAAATATATCATAGAAAAAAAAGAATCAGAAATTACAAGAAAGAGAAAATAAATATTAAATGACTTTAAATTATGCTATTCGATACAAATGTAATTATGATTTCATTAATAGTACACTATGCTATGCTGATGATGAGTCTATGATTTAGATGAATCGCTTTTAGCAGATGCAGAAGGAACAGGAATACTGCTTACACTAGGCCTTTTCACAAACAGACGTTCACTTCCACGTCGACGAGTTGCAGAATTATGCCAAGTCTCGTTAAACGCCTGCTGCGTTGAATCTGAATTCGCGTCACCATTATCAGCGACCGCGCTTTCATAATTTGTTTGTTGATGTTTCAACCCCTCCGAAAGGCTTTTCGCTCTTCCATGAGTCACTGGTAGCTGTGATTTTGGATATGACTGTTGCATCGGCGTGGGCTTTTCCGAATTTGAATCTGGTATTTGACTTTGAGTGTCGAGTTTGTTGGGAACTTGCGGTTGAGGAATCTCTTGAGGTGGCGTTTGAGGTGGCGTCTGAGATTTATCGCGGCGAGGAAATTGAAGATGTTCAGTTGATTGTTGTTGCAAAAGCAAAAGTGGGCGCAGTTGAATTTGGGGACGGGGTGGTTCTTGCCACAATTGAAGCAGTTGCTGCCTCCTGAGCAGCCTTTCTTGCATTTTCTTTTCATACGCTAGTTGCTCCGGAGATTTCTTTTCCGTTTGATCATCCGATGAGTTGCTCGGTTTAGCCATGAGTTTTTCTTGAAGCTTTTCTTGATGTCTCTGGAATTGCAGAGCTGTCCGGCTCTCAGGTCTGAAATCCATAAAGGACGAGGATATTCTCCGCTGTGGTCTCGGTAATTGAGACTCTGGCTTTGTCTCTATTTTGACGTTTTTCTGCTTGAAGTTATTAATAGCTGCAATCAACTCGTCGTCGTCAATCACTACGCTTGACTTTTTATCGTTTCTGGCTATGTTCGACTTATCATTATTAGTAGCCTCGATCGACTGTTTATTCTCAAAGACTTCGTCTGACTTATTTTCAATGGCCTCGTGCAACTTGCTTTTGTGAATGGCGTCGCTTGATTTGTCATCATTAACAATTTCGTCCGACTTGCCATCTTTTATGCTTTCATTGGTGACGTTTTTGATGACGTTTGACTCGTCACTTTTTATTGTTTCGTTCGATTTGCCGTCGATATGCACCTCTTCTTCTGGTTGTCCTTTAACAACTTCCTTCAACATGTCGTTGTGAGTATCATTAAATTCTTCAACTGCTTTGTCGTCGATTTGAACATTGGCTTGCTGATCATCATTCAATTCTTCAACTGCTTTGTCGTCGATTTGAACGTTGTCTTGCTGATCATCATTCAATTCTTCAACTGCTTTGTCGTCGATTTGAACGTTGTCTTGCTGACTATCATTCAATTCTTCAACTGCTTTGTCGTCGATTTGAACGTTGTCTTGCTGACTATCATTCAATTCTTCAACTGCTT